CTCTGGATATCTGTGGTTGTTATCACCTTAGTTCGCTTATTCAAAAACTTCCCTATTCTTGATCAGTGTTGAGAAAGTGCATGCTCACAAACAGTGAACTTATAATCTACTTCATAAAAAAAAATCATTACTAATATTAATGAAATCAGTCTTTCTCTAACACTTTGTTGGGTCAGCCTGAAAACCTTTCCTCTTTTCCTGTCCCCCAGGACTGGAAGACCAGGTAAGGGGACGATTCCATCTGACGGGAACACCTCAATTTGGGGTTGTGATTGGCTCCCGGCACTGTTCACCTGGGAAACTGCTCCCCGATCCACAGATCCCACAGTCATGGCTCTCAGCGAGGTGGTCAGGAACTCTAGTCCCTCAAAGTCCTCTCAAAGTGGAGAAGCAACGTTAATGCTGGTTGTTTGTCTATGGCTTTGCCCCAGTGAAACTGAATTTCAGTGATGTGCTATGATATCATCCCAGAGGAATGATCATTTGTTTGCTAGATCTTTGGATGCTGGAAAGAGGAAGGGAAGCAGGGAAGTCAGCAGAGAAAAAGAAAGGGTAAAGAAGAGAACAAGACCTTAGTGAGCACCTAATGTATTCCATTCATTGTGTTAAATCAGCTTGTTTAGTCTTATAGCTACATTAAGAAATAGAGATCTCACCCTGCCCCGATAGCTCAGTTGGTTAGAGCATCGTCTCGAAATGCCAAGGTTGAGGGTCCAATCCCCAGTCAGGGCAGATACAAGAAACACCCAATGTATGAATGTATCAACAAGTGGAACAACAAATCAATGTTTGTCCGCCTGTCTCTCTCTTCCTTCTCTCTCTCTCTCTAAAATCCAATCAATAAATAAAAATTTAAAAAGAAAATAGAGATCTCCATTTTATTGGTGAGGACACCAAGGCAAAGAGTGGTTACTTGCCAAAACCACCCAGTTAATGGTTATCTTTCTGTGGCCTGAAGCCTCCCACCAACCCAAACTCCATGCCTTCAATTGCATTATGCAAAAACATCTAAGTGCAGCTGGAATAGAGGAAGAGGAGTAGGTAAGGGAGAAAAGGGAAAAAGAAAAAAACAAAAACAAAAAGAATGTGAGAAAGCTCTGAAATGCTGCCAATGGTTATTTAAGATTAGTCCTATCTGAGGTGAGGGTAATCCTAAGCAGACGGCAAGATAGGCATACCTTGACCCATCATCTTCCAGTTTCCACCTTTGTCATTTCTTAAGAAGCTGTTTGGTAAATTCTCAACTTTATGCTCATCCCTCCCAGAGACATTACTATGTAATAAAAAATTTTGCACTCTGGATGGTGTGCTCAGTTGGTTACCAGGAGGTTGCCAGTTCGATTCCCAGTCCAGGGCACATGCTGGGGTTCTGGGATCAACCTCTGGTAGAGGCTATGCAGGAGGCAGCCAATCAATGTTGTGCTCTCACATTGATGTTTCTCTCTCTGTGTCAATCCCCCTCCCTTCTACTCACTCTAAAAAACAATGAAAAAATATCCTCTGGTGAAGATTAACACCAAAAATAATTGCCAAAAGTATAATGACAGTTTTCTGCAAAATACATTTGAGAAGAGAACACTTATTTGCTTAGTAAGGTGATCCAGCTTCCAGGTTAGCCTCATAAGCAGAAGGTATGGGTTTTATTTTGCAGAGGCAACTTTCTTGACTATTTTTTTCGGTTTCTAAAATATAGCATTTTTAGGTTCCTCATACTCTGTCACCTTTCACTGTGTTTTTTAAATGGAGAAGAATTCTTTCCGTGGAGGAAACCCTTCCCTATCTCTATAGCAGTCTGATTCGAGGTCCTGTAAAGATGTTTTGTTTCTATTTCAGTAGAAAAAAGAAAAAAAAAGAACCAGAAATGAAGAATACACTAGAAAAATCAATAGCAGATTAGATGAAGCAGAGGATAGAATTTGTGATATGAAAGACAAGGTATCAGGAAATGCCCAATCAGAGCAGCAAAAACAAAAACAAAAATAAAAAAAACCACCATTTTTTAAAGTGAGATAGTTTAAAGATCTGGGAAAACATGAAGAGCAACAACATCTGCATCATAGGGGTACCAGAATGAGAACAGCGTAAGCTAGGGATCAATAATCTATTTGAAGAAATAATAACTGAAAACTTCCCTGACCTGGTGAAGAAAAGAGACATACAGGAAGCACAGAGCATCCCAAACAAGATGAACCCAAAGAGGCCCACACCAAGGCACAGCATAATAAAAATGGCAAAGGTAAAAGACAAAGAGAGAATCTTAAAAGCCATAAGAAAAAGACAGTTAGTTACATACAAAAGAGCTTCCATAAGACTGTCAGCTGATTTATCAATAGAAACATTTCAGGCCAGAAGAGACTGGAACAAAATATTCAAAGTAATTGGACCTACAACCAAGACTCTTCTACCTGGCAAGGCTATCATTTAGAATTGAAGAAGAGCTTCTCAGACAAGAAAAAGCTAAAGAAGTTCATTATAATCAAACCAGTAATCACAAGAAATATTTAAGGGGCTTAAGAAGAAGATGAAGAAAAAAGAAAGAAACATAATTGAAAAGAATGAAATGGCAATAAATAATCACTTTAAATGTACATGGATTGAATAGTCCATTCTAAGGACCTAGAGTAGTTGAATGTGGAATGACCAGTCGCTATGACACGAACTGACCACCAGGAGGCAGACACTCAATGCAGGAGCTGCCCCTGGTGGTCAGTGCACTCCACAGGGGGAGCACTGCTCAGCCAGAACTCAGGCTCATGGCTGGAGAGCACAGTGGCGGTGGCAGGAGCCACTCCCGTCTCCGCAGCAATGCTAAGGCTGTCTGACTGCCAGCTTAGCCCTATGGGGAGTGGGCCTAGCCAGCAGTCGGACATCCCCCGAGGGCTCCCGGACTGCGAGAGGGCACATGCTGGGCTGAGGGATCCCCTTACCCCCGAGTGCACGAATGTCATGCACTGGGCCTCTAGTGTTGTCTATAAAGAGACTCACCTCAGAACAAAAGACACACCCAGGCTGAAGGTAAAGAGATGGAAAAAAAAAATATCATGCAAATAGAAACACAAAAAGGTGGGGTAGGACATTACATAATGATAAAGAGGTCAATTCAACAAGAGATATAACCCTTACGAACATTTATGCCTCCAACATAGGAGGACCTAAATATATAAAGCAAATATTGATGGACATATAAAATAAATATTGATGGCTGATGTTCCCAGTGGTTAGAGCGGTGGCCTGTACACCGAAGGGTCATGGGTTTGGGTTGCAGGTTTGATCCCCAGCCCTGAGCACGTGTGGGAGGCAACTAATCTGTCTCTCTCATATTTCTCTCTCTCTCTTTCTCTCTCTCTGTCTCTATCTCTCCCCCCCTTCTTTTTCTTTCCTCCCTTCCTCCTTTAAACTCTCTCTAAAAATCAATGGAAAAAATATCCTCAGTTGAGGAATAACAAAATAAATAATTTTTAAAAATTAAAAAAAGATATTCACCAATGTTACACCCAATAAGGGGTTAATATCCAAAATTTGTATAGAACTCATATAACTCAACACCAAAAAACCAAACAATCCAATTAAAAAATGAGCAGTGGACCTGAATAGACACTTATCCAAAGAGGACATACAGATGGCTAATAACATATGAAAAGATACTCAATATTTCTAACCATCAGAGTATTGAAAATTAAAACCACATTGAGATACCATCTCACACCTGTCAGAATGGCTAGCATTAATAAATCAACAAATAACAAGTGTTGGTGAGGATGTGGAGCAAAAGGAACCCTCATCCACTGTTGGTAGGAATGCATATTGGTAGCCACTATGAGAAATAGTATGAGGTTTCCCTAAAACTTAAATAGAATTGCCTTATGACCCAGTGATTCCACTTCTGGTTATATATTTAAAGACGCCCCAAACACTAACTCGAAAGAATATATGCAACACTATGTTCACTGCAGCATTATTTACCAAAGCCAACATATGTAATCATCCCAAGTGCCCTTCTATAGATGAGTGGATACAAAAGCAGTAGTACATATATGCAATGGAATATTACTCAATCGTAAATAAATAACGACATCTTATCATTTGGGAGAGTATGGATGGACGTAGATAGTCTTATGCCAGGTAAAATGGATGAGTCAGAGAAAGACAAATACCATATGATTTCATTTACACTGGAATGTAAAGAACAAAAATAAATAAACAAAACAGAAACAGGCATATAGATACAGAGAACAGACTGATGGCTGCCAGACAGGAGGGGGACTGGGGAACTGGGTAAAAAAGGTAAAGGGATTAAGAAGTACAAATTGGTAGTTACAAAATAGTCATGGGGATGTAAAGTACAGCATGGGAAATATAGTCAATAATACTGTAATAACTAAGTATGTTTTCAGGTGGGTACTGGAAATATCAGGGGGATCACTTTATAAAGTACATGACTAACCACTATGCTGTACACCTGAAACCAAAATAATAGTGTATGTAAACTGTAATTGAAAAATAAAACAACAAAAATGAGTAGGGAAACCTGATAATTTCTTTGCATTTTTGCATGACTATTTGATGAAAGAATAAGTGGATTTCCTCTAGAAGCAGAACTAGGTGGGTGCCATTTCAGAAAGTCATATTTTGATTCAATTTGTAGTGAAACATCCATAGAACTGAGAATTGTGTGAAACAGTTCAGCCCTTCTCCCTACCAGGGTCTAGATCAGGGGTGGAGAACCTATTTCATCTGTTAGAGATACCACAAAGGAATTCCTTGTAATGGATGAACAGTATGAACCAGAGCATCTCTAAGGGCTTTTCTAGCTCAAAGGTTGAGACTTTGTTTTCTAAAGGGTCCTGAGTTAAATTAATTCAAGTATGCAACTGAAGTTGCAGGAGAAGGTAAACTTAAACAGCTCTAACAATGACAATGGTATTTGACAGAGAATGAATACGACAAAGAACACAAGCCAACATTGACCAAAATAACATATTTCAAATATTTATACTTACAACAATAAAAAAATGATTCCAATAATTTGACAATGCTTCAATCAGGAGGCCTACACCTTTTAAAATTTCTTAGAAACACCATCTCTGTGTTTGTCTTCATTCTATGAGAAAGCACAGATATCTTGAAATAGCTGCAATTACTTAAAAAAAATTGAGATACTGTATTCACAGAACTTCTCCATCAAAAAATATAATATTAGAAGTAAATTTTCATAAATCAGTTCACTTTCCACACTGTGGCACATCTTGGCAAAGCTACATATACAGAATCTCACTCACAGATTAGATCATACTCACTCCCCAAACTCCCTTAAATGACAGAAAATTTTCTACAGAATTTAGGCATAATAGATTTGAAATCTCGTGTCTACAGTACATTGATGAACACTTAGCTTTTCCCAACCAATCTACAAATGTTAGTTTCCCTCACTTAGTCCTCATACAGTTGGTCTTGCTTGCATTTATCAGATGTCCTGTCAGACCTTGTAATTTCTGCACTCTGATTTAAAACCACACATCTGTCCAAATGAGAAGACTCAACACTCTTAAAACTTAGCCTATGATTTCATCAGAAATAGTCACAAGTAAATAACTTTTTAAGACACAGCTCAGACATAGGGCTAAATTTCTCTGAAATTATGATATTTATTAAATGTAGTTACCCTTTTATATTCATTTTTTTACCTTTGAGGATTAATAAAAGCCATTCTTAGTATCTTCTTCAAATAATCATTTGCAATAGTTTAAATTACATATGCATTAACGAATTTGAAATGTGACAACATTCTAAAACAAAAAATTTTTAAATTTGGTGTGAAAAATTTTAGTGCCTATATAACCTCTGAATGTTGCTGGGAAGGTTAGTATACATTTGATATTTGCCCTGAAGATATGATCCTCATTTAATATGGTTTATTAAATACCTGAAATCCACTCACTGGCCCCAAACTGTATTTCAGATATTTTTTTAGCAATAATCTTGCTTCCTTGTCATTTTTCAAAGATAAAAAAAATTGGACATATCTGAAAGTTACTTTGGATTTACCAGTGTATGTGTAAAGCCTGCTTAGTAATTACTAACCAGTATCAAGTTATTTTGCAGGCCAGAGAACACAGTTAGTGTGTATGACAAACGAGCTGTATACTCATTCATGGTTAGCACCGGGCCATGACTTTCTCATTCACATTTTTCAAAGGCTTACAGCATACGATATACACCTGCATTTATGTGCAGCAAGCATGATAAAGACATTTGGTGTGTTAAACATTTTACATATTCTCCCATTGTACTGCATCTGTAATGTGCCAGAAAAGTAATTAGTGCATCATTCCAAAATGCTATTTAGCCATGATGAGATTTCTGGCATACAATACAGCTTTTAAAAAATATTGCAAATACATTTTCTACTTTAAACACAATATTTCTATGAAAGCAGAGAAATACAAATCTCCACCTATAGTGATATTTTTAAATAATCATAGTGAGAAACTACTGTAACCACTCTGTCAGAGAACGATAACTCACTTCAGGTTCACCATACTTATTCTAACTGAAAATTATCTGTAAAGAACTTTTGTCTTTTTAAGAATTATAAACTTTTCCTCAAATGCAGATTTCCTTTGATGAGTCCCTTGTCAATAAAAGAGCAAATAAAAATCTATTATTAATGATATCTACTATCTAGTTTCCTAGTTTCAAATAACTTTCATTTATATTAATTTGTGTCATGCTTACAATAAGCCACTGAGATAAATATAGTTTTTCATATTGCGATATTATTTTTCATATTTTATAAGCATAGAAAATAAGGCAGGCCCAAAGACATTACCATGTCCCAGTTGACAAAACCAGGAATAAATAGATATAAACAAGAACCTAGGACTAGGTCCTCAGAGTATGCCAGTCTTGGTTCTCTCAAACGCTAAAGGAAAAGCTGAATATTTAACTGTCTTTTTCAACTGCAATGGACTGAATATTTGTGTCCCCACCAATGTGACAGTGGTAGAGGTGATGCCTCTGGGAGGTAATTAGGTCCTGAGGGGAAGCCCTCCTGAATGGGAGTAGTGTGCCTATAAAAGGAACCCTAGTGAGCTCTCTTGCCCTGCTACCATATGAGGACAGAGCAAGAAGGTGGCTGTCTATGAACTAGGACGTGAGCTCTCATCAGATACAATGCATCTTGAACTTGGACTTTCTAGCCTCCAGAACTGTGAGAAATACATGTGTTAAGTAACCCAGTTTATACAGTAGTTTGTCACAGCAGCCCCAACTGATGAAGATCCCAGTTTATCCCCACATCTGCACTGTAACTGGGTTCTACTACAATCTTTTGAAAAACAAGGATGCAAATGTACAGTTTTCTGCCATGTCTCCAATCACAGATTATATAATCTACTTTCTCAGCTAACATTTTCCCCTACTAAACATTTTCCATTGATCTAAGAGTAAATATATAAATAAATAACATCTGAATGTAATGATGTATGAAAAGTCTCAAGCCTTCCGATATATTAACTGATGTTAATTTTTCTCATTGAAGTGTTTAGCTGGAGAGCTAGAGCGTAGCTGTCCTTTGTCATTACAAAATGCAATACCGTTTCTGTGTCTAGGAAACTTTTTCCAGACGGTATTATTGCAAACAATGAGGATTCAATCCAAATGAGATCTCTATTTCTAATACACAAATGCACTAAATCAGTTCAAAGAAACAATGGTAAGAGTAAAGGATTTTATGGTCCTAATCCCATTCCTTTAGCTTTTAAACCTCATTAAAAAATCATAAAAACTTTTCAAAGCACATGAATTTCATTTGACAATCTCACCCCAAAGTCTCTCAGACTGGAACAACAACACTCAAGTTAGGCATCTTTACTTTCCACTAGTCCTTACTTTACTTTGAAAGCATTTCCAAAATAACCAGTGACAAAATAAACAAATGATGATCAGATGGTATTTAGAGTCATTGTATGCTAAGAACTGGCGGATACTTCAAAGATCCCTGTTCTCTGACCCCAGGCAGGGCTATAGCTAAACAATTCAAAATGGGGTTTTTGTCTTCTGACTCTCACTGAAAATTTATTTAAAAGTCTTATATCCCTTCAAAATGTTTAGTACTACTTCAAGATGTTTCTTGGGTCATTATACAGCTAACTGAAATTTAAATTCACCTCTTTGAGTTCTTTCTCTGGGAAACAAAGCATCAGTATCCCTGATAAATTTGTTCCTTTATTTTGAATAACCCCTTGAGAAGAGTTTTGGGGGATAAGGTGAAAAAAGGTGATGCGATTTAAGGAGCCCTAATTGATAGTTACTGTTAGGTCCATCAACTGATGGAATTCATACCTCCCCCCCAGGAAAATGACCTTTAGATTATTTTGCAATGGACTTGCCCTTTTGCTTAGACCACATTCCATTTACTAAGACCAGTAACTTTCCCCTCTGGACTTGCCCAGGATCTGGACCTGCCCAGAGAATTCCCTACCGAGAAAAAGTCCGCCTAGAATCCTTTAAAATCTCTGACTCCCCGTTCCTGGGTGCTGGCACATTTGGGGCTCAGCCCATCTGTTTTCCAGATGACCTAAGAAATTCATAATTCTTTATGTGTTTTGGCCTCATGCACACCTCCGTTGGCGACCCTAACAGTTACAAAATAGTCCTGGGGATTTAAGGGAAAGCATAGGGAATATAGTCAACAATACTGTAAAGCTATCTATGGTGCCAGGTAGGCACTTGAGTTATTGAAGGAGACACTTTATAACCAAATGAATGTTCTATCTGCTCTGTTGTACACTTGAAAGTAATACAAAATACTGTTGAATCCAAACTGTAATAGAAAAATAAAATAATAAAGAAAGAATACCTTGAACTACTCTTTAGAGATCTGAGGAGTACCCAAATGATCACTAGCAAGACACTTAGTATGCCAGTTTATATCCCTTACCATTTGATTCAGATCATGTCAATACTGTATAGCAACTTTCAAATAACAAACACCCTTCGCAAATTTAGTTGTGCTTTTGAGACCTAGAATGGAACTAAGATTTATCTAGTAAAGTGTTTCTCTTCTATTAATATCCACAAAAAGCACTGGAGAGCTTATTAAAACACAAAATGAGTGGTCCTACCCTCAGAGTTTCTGGTTCATTAGGTCTGAAGCAGGCCCCACGAATGTCCATGTCTAACAAATTCCTAGCTAATGTGGCTGCTGCTGGTGCAGAGACCATTTATAAGTATCACAAATCGATGACAGCAGTTCTCAATTTTGGCTTCACATTAGAATCACCTGGGCACAATAAAATGAAACCTAAATCCGGGCCCCACTCCCATGGAGCAATTCAAGTGGTCCAGGTAAGGCCAAAATTATTATTATTACTACTATTTCTAAATCTTTGGAGGAGGAGAAAGCCCACCAGAAAGATTGGCAATAAAATATCTGGGAAAAGTGCCTACCTTTTAAGTCTTCTGGACGTTTCCCTAGATGTCTAGGGTATCTCCTCCTCACCGCCACAGACTGTTAAAGCACAGCTCCCATCTCCCCCATGAGCCTCAGAGGCTCAGCTATGTGAGGCAGGGAAATAGCGAGTCACTGACTCGAGATTTGCAGGACGGTTGGAGGAGGAGGAATTAGAAACAAGGAGGCTATTTCAACCATGTGGGCCAGAAATAATAAGGGAAATGTTTAATGTATTTGAAAAGAAAGCAAAGAATGAACTAGTCACTGTAAATGAAAATTCATACCACTGGCCAACACCAAATAGAGAAGCAGGAGTCAAGTAGATTCAGATTTTGATCCTATGCTATTGTAGTGCCTTCCACAGTTTCTAGCACACAGTGCGCCATAAATATTTGTACATTAAAGAACTGACCCTACAAAAATGCAAAAGGCAGAAAACAGTACGTTCAGATGTTTAGGAAGGGTGTCTCTCTCTACAGCCTTTGCGGAGAGAGGCTGCAACTCATCGCATACAGATGGGAAGGATGTTGGCTGGCTATTTTGCATATTCCAAACCTTAAAACCTTAAAAAAAGATACGGTTTTATTTCTCGTGATTCTGTGGGTGGTTCTCTGCTTCATGGTGTTGGCTGGCACAAAGGAAGCTAG